TTCATGACGAGGGCTAGATCTGGAATTAAAGCCTGACTCTCAGCCGGGGGCCTGGATGTCGGCCCCAACCAGAGCAACCCCCATCCAGAGCCTGGCCCCAACATCCCAGCGAGGAGGCTCACCATCACGCTCGGTGGGGGTCAGCTCGGGCAGCCGCCGCACGTGCCGGCGGGGGAGCAGCAGTGTTTGGAAGGGCCACACTGCCCAGAAGGGGACCAGCACTAACCAGTGCTCACTGGTTAGGACCAGACGTTCCTGAGCAAACCAAATAGAGATGAGGTCATCGAGGCGGGTGTTGGTGGTCAGCAAACAGGCAAGGGAAGCAGAAGAAAAAGATGTACCCAGAGTCTTATGGCTTCTCACCACCGTTACCATTATCACCTAGTCTAAGTCACCATCACCTTTCCTGTAGATTACTGCTATGGCCTCCTGACAAGTCTCTCTTTCTATTTTCCTTCGACCCTTCCCCTTCACACACCTGTCTCTTTCGAGGTGTGAGGTTAGAGACTCCTTGGGGACAGGGCCTAGCTTTCTCCCACCTTCCTGAGCAGCTCCTGGCGGCCATATTCCATTAACAGAGGCTCTCCATGCTGACTCTGATAGGCTTGCTGAGATCTCTCCTCACGCTGGGCAATATCTGGCAGGAAACTGCTGGCCCACACCTGTCAAAGAGTAGAAGAGAGAAAAAAGGCAGGTCCTTCATCCCCAATCCTCCCCATCACTAGCATATTCCCTCTGTCCCATCTCTTACTTCAGTTCCCCTCCCCACGGTGCTGGCTTAGACCCAGCCTAGAAATGTACTGGAGCCCCCGAAACACCTACCTGGCAGTGGGGGTGAGGGTTGGAACAGCCCATCATGGCTCCTTTGTTTTCAAAGATCTATCAAGTAGGCGGGTGAGGGGGGTAGGGAGTTTTAGTAGCCAAAAAGACACCAAGTCACCCTTCCAAACCACACCCCGTGGAAACAGGAATTCCAATTCCCAGAACCAAAGCTGCACCCCCCCCCCGGCTCATCCAGGGGAGGGGGTAACCTCACAGACCTGTACCCAAGGGTACTGGGCACCCAGATCCTCTGTGACTGAGGCCCACACATCGATGACAGTCCGGATCTCAGGGATTGACATGAGTGGCAGTGTCACATCCGACCAGGGGTGGAAGCACAAGACCTTACTACGTAGTGTGGGAGGGAGGAACGACAGAAATATGGGTCTTGGATGTGCTAGGGGCAGGGTCCAATCCCAGCGCTCGGTCTAGGACATGGGTTGAAGGTTATAAGAGAGGAAATCCATAGTTACCAGACACCTCGAGCAGCCTTTGCTTGAAAAAGAGGGTGATCACTGGGTCCTGAGATAAAAGGGTATCACTCTCTGCAACAGAAGTTGCCACAAAAGGTCCAGCTTCCTTTCCCCCCAAAAGCAGTAGAGCCATGTTACCTGGACTGGGGGCATCAGGCTGCAGAGCTGGGAAGTCATTGTCAAACAGGAAGGTGCCATCATAGTGGGGATTCACCTACAGACAAGGGTGGGCTAGAAGTAGTCACTGCCCATACCACCAGTCATCCGGTGGGCTTCAGTGGCTGGACAGGGTACTAGAGGGTGGGAAGGGCCACTCCGGAATCAAAAAGACTTGATGAGATATGACCCAGAAGGAAGTCCACTACCCTCTGGGTGAGGGCCAGCTCTAGGTGGGAGCACTTCCCCTGGCCCAGCCTGCAGAGGTAGGCGCCAAAGGCTTACCTCCCCATTGGCCCGTGTGGCCCCCGGACACAGAGGGTTGCGGGGGTCATGGCGGGGCACTGTCTCCAGAAGCGAGGGCTCTACCTGCCCCTGCCAGGGTCGCTTCATGCGGTGAGCTGACACCAGCACCCACTCATCCTGCAGCGGGTTGTAGCGGATATGCTGATGCTCTGGGGGCAAAGAGTCAAGATCAGTCAGCAAAGTTCTCCGTCCACCTCTCCAACGGATCTCACCCACCAGCAGGCCCCAGCTCGGTCGGAGGCACCTCCTTGGCCCCGTCTGGCTCAGGAACTAAAGGGCCGGGCTTGGGCGTTCCCGGTGCAAATGAGCTGGCAATCCAACAGGGGTGTGTCTCTTCACCGCTCGGGCCTGACCGGGTGGGCGCGCCCACCTGGGGGTACGGACCGCAAGGTCCTAAGGAAGGAGAGGGGTTGGCCCCGCTTCCCAGCGCGTCCCTGCCGCCCTAAAGTTACCGCTCGCCAGGAACGGGGCGGTGGCGTCCGCCTCTGACGCCTGCTGGCGCCGCTCGGGACCCGCTCCGCTGCGCGACATGTGGCCAACGCGGGGGACCTTCTGCCGTGTCTGCCCCGCTGCCTTTCACCCACCTCGGTCAATCCAGCCCCGCCTCGCCCCCGATGATTGGCCAGTCGCCAGCACGTGACTGTCAGGGGGGGCCGACCGGCCACCTTGGGGCGGGGCTCAGGACGACCCAGCGCTATAGGGGCGACTTTGATCACTCCCGTGGCCACAGTCAGTACCCTGGAAAACATCTCTGTGAAAGCTGCTTACTGCCGATCCCTCGGCTCCAGACGCTTCCAAGATGTCTTTACTGCTTACAGCCATTCGTTTGGTCATTCATTCAGCAAATATTTGCTGAGTATCTACCCTGTGCCAGGCACCCAGGCTGCGTGTGGTGCAAAGGGATGCCCCAGTGTGCACAAGTCGGGCATGGCCTCTGCCCTCCTGGAGCTTACATTCTAGGGCCAAGTAAAGGTATAACCCTGATCCACAATCACCTCGCCTACCTGCGCAGTGGCTGGGGTGGGGAGGAGAGGCGAACTTGGAGGGGAAGGGGGAGGTTGGTGAACTGCTTCAGCTGAACCCTGGCCTCAAGTATCACCTGGAGGAGTGTGTGCTACGCTACACTCATCCCCACCAGTCCGCAGAAGCAGCTTTGGGGGAACAGGACTAAGTAACTGTGAATGAAAAGGGGGCTCTGCAATAAGCCTGGCAAGTTCTAGGTGGAAGGAGCACATGGCAAGCCTGACAAGCTCAGGGACTGAAAGTAACTACACAGGATGGTCTGATCACAAGTTCCTAACTGGGCAGTTTCTAGCGGGTAGTCATGGCCCAGACCTACAGCTAACGGTCAACCTTTACCTTCCGTGAGCTCTGTTCATTGTCCTTCTGCATCTAGGACAGCATCACTTTGAAATGTCAGAGTGATTTTCTTTTCCAGACCCCTGAAGGCACCACAGGCCCCAGAACACAAGACCATCAGACCCCTCCTTCCTAGGTACAGTGAATGTTAATTATTAGCTATACTGTACCCACCAATGTACAAGAAGTATGTGTTTCTCCATTTTGCTTTTTATCCAGTCCTGGAGATGTCCCTGCTTTGTTTTCTCCTGCCTCCTTTAAAAAAAAAAAAAAATTCTTTATTGATTTCAGAGAAGAAGGGAGAAGGAGAGATAAAAACATCAATGATGAGAGAGAATCATTGATTGGCTGCCTCCTGCACGCCCCCCACTGGGGATCAAGCCCGCAATCCAGGCATGTGCCCTTGGCCGGAATTGAACCTGGGACCCTTCAATCGCAGGAAGATGCTCTATCCACTGAGCCAAGCCGGCCAGGGCTCTCCTGCCTCCTTAATCTACCACCAATGGATTTAATGTAGCTTCTTTACATTTCTCCTTTGATTCTAAGTGCTTAAAAGGAACAGCAAAACTGCCATTCTGTTGAGCATTTTCTCAACCCATTTAGACTTTACTTCCAGGCACATCCTCAAAAGAGTTTATTTGGCTCAAATAAACTCTTACAAAACTTTTCTAAAGGTTTAGACATTCTTTCGTTGACATACCCTCTCTCCCTCTCTCTCTCTCTTATATGCACACATCAAAAGCAAAAGAAGTGGGTGAGGTAAGAGGGCCATAAGAAATCTGAACATGTGAGAAAGACAGGATATCAGTAACTCTAGCCACCATCTGGGTGGGATCGAAAGGTTTACACACCCCTTCCCTTCTCCAACTTTTCCCTGAATCAAACCAATTGGTTAACATTAGAATAAAATTCAAATTAATTCCTCACTGGCACTTTTCTTTTTTTAATAAATATTTTTATTGATTTTTAGAGAAAGAGGAAGGAAGAGGGAGAGAGAGAGAAACATTGATGTGAGAGTGCAGCATCAATTTTGTTGCCTCCTGCACTCCCTCTAACAGGCATGTGCCCTGAGGGCAATTGAGCCAACAACCTTTTGGTGCACAGGGTGACACCATAAAAGACATCTAAATATTGGCTGAACATTTTTTCCCATTTCATAGTGGGAAAGAGAGGCTTCAAGGTCACCCAGGGCACAAGTGGCCAACTTAGGATTTGAACTCAAATTTCCAGTCTCTTCCCACTGCTCTAAAATGCCTCTGAGACTTAGGTGATACTCAAGATAGAAAAATAGTGAACTAGAACCTGGGCAGTAGCAGGAAGGCCCTTTCCCCCAAGCCAGACCAGGGCAAGCCAGATGTTTTGCAGCTGACACAAAAACTGGGTCATTGGTCATTTACCTAATCTCTGACCCAGGGTCCTCTGACTGAAATCTGAAGAGGCCACCAGGTAGGGGGCAGGAAGCAGGGAGCTGAAAAATGAGGGTGGGGAGTACCTGTCCCACTGGCTATGCCTGGTTGGGGGGGAAAGAGATAGAAGATCTGCTTTTCTACTCCCTCAGGTGTCTTTGTTGTTTGCGTGACTGGATTTCAGAGGCAGCCCCATTTTCTCAAGAACACAGTGCTTCAGTGCCACTCCCAGGATCATGCCAGCTAACTCCTGACCCCTTCAGAAACATCTCTTCAGGACTATCACCAAACCTCTCCTTTCTCTGTGTCTCCCCGAGGTCAGGTTTTGGGGGATGTGGAGAATGGCTGAGATTGGGCCCATCCAGACCCTTCCCTTTAAGATCCCAGAGGTGTGATCTCTTCTATGATATTTAGGGAAGGTGTGTGTGGCCCCTGACCTCTTAATTCCCTTCCTTAGACCCTCTTAAGGCTATGGGGTGGAAGAAACTTTCCTCTACTCTTCTAGGTTCTTCAAGCTGGCTTAATAAGAGATAGATTAACAAAAGAAAATAATGGAATTTAATTACATATGTACATATAACATAAGAGAGTCAGAGACTCCATATCCATGAGAGGTTCAGAGAGAGAAAATGAAAATGAGGTATATATGGCATTCTGAGCTGAGGACGAGGTAAGGCACCTTGGGGCTTCAGAGGGTTGTAAGGTCATTGCAGGAAAGAGCAGATGTTCAGTAATTAGATGTTTGCCCTGCCATATAGATAGGTCATGAAAAGTTATTTCTGATAATAACTCTTATTATGAGCAAGGCCCAAATTCAAATTCTTTAAAGAAGAGGTAATAGTTTTTCATGAGCCCACAGGGTCTTTATTACCTTCAGTTCATAATAATTCACGTATCAAAGTGACATACCTTGGGGAGTCCTGTTCTGAACCCCTTCAAGGCCAAAGGACAAATGGGTTTTTTTGTTTTTAAATATTGTGTGCAGGAAAAGCTTTCTGAAAGGCCAGGTAGGGGAGCTGCAGGCCTAGATAGTCCCAGAAGGCTGTATGTAGAACAGGGGGGCAGATTCCAGATTTTGGGGCTAGTCCTTGTTATTTGAGGTTCTTAGAGAATGGTCAGCTCAGAAGTATCACAGAAGCTAGGGCCAATTAAAAAAAAAGTTTCCTCAATTCTGCATTCTCCTCTAGATAATCACTTCATTACCTTTCCCTTGTTAGACAAGTTTCTCAAAAAATAGTCCAACTTCCCAGCCTCTACCCTTACCTGCACAGTACACTGTAGCATGTCTTTTGCCCTGTATTAGTCAGGATAAGTAATCTTAGTTGCTATAACAAACAATACCCAAGCTCAGTGGCTTAGCACCATAGTCCATTATGGGGGAGAGAGAGAGAGCTCTATCCCATGCAGCATTCAGAATTCTCCACTAACTACTTAATTCAATATAACTATGAAAATAGGTCAGGGAAGAGAGAGAATGTAAGAAATTTCACAGAAGATCTTAGGTGCCAGAACTGGAAGTGGCATACATCATTTCTGCTTATACTTCATTAGCCAGAACATAATCGCATGGCCTTATCCAATTACAGAGTAGACTATGGGATGTAATCTGGCTGCATACCCTACTGAGAAAGCTGACGACCATTTCGCATCATTCTTTTGGATGGAATACTCAATCATATTTGACTGTGTTAACTCTTCACTTCATTACTCTCATGTCTGAGGCCATGCTCCTCCAGTTCTCTCCTCCTTTGTTTTATTTATATAACTAACACATATGGCACCACATGCCAGATACTAATTGCTTTAAAAATATTAACTCACTTAATATTCATCACAATGAAGGTATGTACTATGTGGTAGGTACCTTTTATTCACCCCATTTTACTGATGGGAGAACTAAGTCACAAGAGCTTAAGTAACTTGCCCAACATCACACAATTAGCAGGTGGCAGGAGCCAGGCTTTTAATCCAGTCAATCGGGTCCAGAGTTCTTTTTCTTGACACTGCACAATGCTGCCTCTTTTCTCTCTTTGGTTTCTCTTCTGTTTTATCACTCCCTTACCATAACCGTTGTTGGTTTACAGGGACTCCGCTCACATTTTGTGCTTCAGAAGAATTCATTGTAGGCCCCTGAAGACCCAGGCTGTTACTCTCCTGGTTGCCTTTGCTCTTGGAGTAGGTCTCACTGGCTGGAATGCCCTCCCCATCTCTCTCTCTCTCTCTCTCTCTCTCTAGTAGTTTGGCTTTAAATATATCTATATATCTATATCTATATCTATATCCACTAATAAAAGGGTAATATGCTAATTAGATCAGACATCTTCTGGACATCCTTCCGGACAAAGCCATGATGGCGGGGGCTGAGGCAGACCTGGGACCCTTCAGTCCGCAGGCTGACGCTCTATCCACTGAGCCAAACCAGCCAGGGCTCTCTCTCTCTTTAAAAAAAAAATTACATATATATGTATGTATATATAATTTTTTAAAATTGATTTAGAGGGGAAGGGAGAGGGAGAGATAGAAACATCAATAATGAGAATCATTGATTGGCTGCAACCCGGGCGACTTGGAACGGAACCGTGACCCCCCAGTTCATAGGTGGACACTCAGCTACTGAGCCACGCCGGCCAGGCCCTCCTCGTCTTTCTTAAAGTCACTGCTCAGGTGTCGCCGCCTCCAGAAAGTCTCCCATGACGTCCCCAGGCCGAAGAGCCCCTCCCGCCCTCCGCGCTCGCAGAGGCGGGCCTTAGGCACTAGGGTCCCGGAAGGCTCTCGCTTCCGGGCTGGCCTGTGTCACTCGCCAGTGAGTCCAGGGGAGCGCCCTTTGTGGGTCTCCCCGCTCCCACCCCTACCCCACGTAGGGCGGCGCTCCGAGAGACTCTGCCCGGAGGGACTCCTGCGGGCAGCTGGGCGGGCCCGGTTTCGCCCCGATTACCCTGTGCCCGCGGCGCCGCCCTCCTCCCC